CTGTTTGACAAACCCAAAATATCACAATACCGGTGAGGAGCTTTTCCAGTTCTTTAATTACCTTTAAATGCTATATATATGGAATTGGACTGATGTAGCAAGTAAAGGTAAATTAGTAATTTAAATTTGTTTCATGTAAATCCTTTTGCTTCTGTAATAATTTTTTACAACCCAGATATATTGATACCTATCATTTAAGGTCTATTCCAGAACATGCAGTCCTGAATGCCTTTAATGAAACTAACATGCCAACAGGAGGTGATGTTGCTCTTTGCTGACATTTCTATTACATGCTGTTGCAACATGCCATGCTCTGAAGAGGAAAGCAAGTTGTGTTGATGTAAAAGAAGCAGCTCAATTATAAGAAGAGACTGCAAAATTAATCATGACGTAATCTAAAGTGTCCTGAATGGCAACAAAACTAGTAAGAAATTTTAAGTGGAAAAGACAAATGCAAGAAAATGGAAAGGAATAACAGGTAACATCACTGAAAATGGGAAAATGCAGAAAGGTGGACCAAAGGAAGAAAGTCAAAAGGAAAGTGGAAAAGCATGAAACTTGGGAAGATCAGAATTAGTGTAAGAAGTCAAATCAGTAGTGCATCCAATCTCTTATCATGTTTTTTGGCTAGTCCAGCAAGTCTATGCAGCTTCTTTCCCTCTGTTGGTTCTGGCCTGAGAAAAGGAATTGGACTGTAAATAAAACTCATTATCATGCAGAACAAGTTGGGCAAAGATTTCTTCTGCTTTTGTTATTGATTAATTGATTTAACCTTTTTTTTTTTCAATAGGGCAATATTAGAAAGTTTTCTGCTCATTCCACATTGACATATTTCTTGGTATGTATAAATAAATCTATGCAGAGATCTTGATAGGCAAATGGGTGTATTGTTGTATCTGAAAGGTAAAGAAATGCTGTGTAATATAAATTCATTTATATTCAAGGAAAAGCTGAAAAGTTAAATGTTGGTCCTTCACAAACCAAACTTTGTATTCTCTTCGCTGGCCTTTCTTGTTGTATTTCTAAAATCTGAACAAACTGGAGGCATATGTTAAAGGCTCCTGCCACCCTTAAGCAATTAACTTAGCAATTACTGTAATGGCTTAGTCAGCTTTGTTTATTTTGCAGAACAGCAAACACACAGTTACACATAGAAGAATGCTCTAATCTCTGAAGGGTACTCTGTCTCTTTGAATAATTGGTCAGCAACTAGCACTATGAATAGATTAGAAAGATATACAAAGCTGAGCACTGAAAAGAATCATCTTCCTCTCTCATGGGTCACAGAGTCCTTTGCAGATCTTGACTTCTGAGTCAAGACTCAAAACTGAGTCTTTAATTACATTGATATGCTTAGAGTAGTATTGTTTTCTTGTTGTGGACGCTTATGTGACTAGGGTATACTTTTGCCCCATTTTCACATTCACCAGATGATTTCATTTAGGATTATGATTTTTTCTAAAAAGCAAAACTGATATCCCCTAGGGCACACACAGTTTACTGGGGTGGGGGGTGAGGGGAACAACACATCTTATGTAAATATAGTTTTCTCATTTGCTTTTATCCACAAAGGTTAAACTGGAATAACTTTTGTATGCAGACAAACTACCAGAGAGGAAGGTGATATGGTCAAGCACCCTGGGATAATAGAGCAGCCTGACCAAAACCGTGAAATCTACTACTGGCTTCAGGAAAGGAAATAAAGTCACAGAAGAGAGAAAATGCAGCTTTAGATATTTTATAAATTTTGTTTATAGATATTGGAATAAAACCAAAAAAAGAAAAGATATAAACAAAAGAAGTGGGCAAGAGGAAAGAAGCAGAAAGGAATACTGGTAAGGTGGGGAGGTAAAACCGTCTAGCAGATGAGAAATTTGACTGAGGTCCAGTTCCACTGTATTAACCAACAAGGGGAGAACCAGGAACGAGAGCTGACACTGACAGCAGGAACAGGGATATTCATGAAGCTAGCGACCCATTTCTAAGAAAAATTGAAAGATTTAAGAGAGAACGTATCTATGCCTATTGCAATGTTAAAGAGGTTGGCAAAGTTTAGTAAAGCTAAAGAAATCCACAGTTTCCAGAGAGTGGACATTTGACAGACAGAGCTCTGTGTTCATACAAGCAATGACCTGTCAGTATAATCAGAGAACAATACAACTTATGAAATACTGTTCGTTCTGGTTAGCAAATGCTGAGTCAGAGAGATAGCAGGAGTTTTTATACTAATGGAGGGGCAAGAAAGTGGAGTAACTAGATCTCCTGGTTCCTGACACAGAGTTGTTAAAGGGGTCAGAAGCACGCTGAAATAGCCGTCAGACCATAATACAGTATTAATAGATGGCTGCTCTTTAGGAAGACTAAATGAAAGACAAAGGTGATAAGGTGGCACTGTACTTTAGTGCATTAGCAGGTTATGAAGAAATAAGAAATGATAGCAACGACAAAACTGAGCATGGATCAAAAGCATGTCAGGAAGGACTGTAAAAGATCTTACCGTAGCACTCAAAAAAAGTCTTTTAGAGAGGCACAGGTACCTTTTGTAGTATGGAGTCACTATGCAGATAAAGGTGGAAGACAATAAAGAAATGACCCACGTGCTATATTAACAAATCCTCTCTTTTTAACAACGTTGGTTTTGATGCTCTGAAATTATGATGTTTAAAGTACATGAGTGCATTGATATGAAATGAAAACATAAAGATGAAAGCTGAACTCAGAAAATATAGCCTGTTCAAAGAAAAGGGTAGAAAACCTCACAGCCTGAACTACTGATGATACTATTGACACTTGTTATGGCAAACCTGATGGCAGGGATATTAGCTCACGTATCACTTTAAGAATGGTACCATGTGTTTCTGCACAACAGCAAAATAACAAATATATATAAGGAAAGTAATTTAACTGTTAACAGGCTGATTAGTCTGACCTTAACAGCAACAGGACCTTAGAACAATTTTTGAAGAAAAATTGCTGAAGAACAGAAATAGAGTAAGTCACTAGAAAGAGGGATAAAATGCAGTAGATACTTACCAAAGGGTGTCAGATTAATTTGATATCAAGTACATAATAAAAGGCCAGGGAAATGTGAAGTATCAATTGCTTGGATCTCAGGGAAGCAAGTGATATGGGAAATACATGGAATTAGACAGGATGGAGAAAATAGGTGTTTTGGTAGAAACTTTGCTAAGTGTCTAAGAACTAGATACAGAGGAGACTGCAATTGGTTGGGCTGAAACATAAATTATTAGCCTAGAAAAAGGCCAGTGAACTGCCTCCAGTATAGTTTTTGAGACTCTTTAATATTTCCACTAATTTTACCCTGTAAAGTAAATGTGACTATTGAATTAATAGCATTTTCACATAGCATATTAAGCATCACTGAAGGGAGGAGAATGGGTATTTAGAATGTTTAAAGAAAGAAGGGTGGAATAAGTATGATAACATTTAATATTGAATACATAATCTAGATTTTTAAGGCCTACATGAAGAATTATTGATATAAACCTTGTACTTGTTAATTGCAAGTGATAATGAGGGAGAATGACTGCTAAATATTGTCTATCACAACAGACTATCGATCAAGACTGCAGCATGGCTGAGAAGAGTACAAATTTGATCTGAGGTCTGAAAAACAAAGCACTGTTAGGTGGAAAACAAAAATACTAATGCCAGCCTAAGATCTTATCTGGAATAAAATCCTGGCCAGGTGCCCTCAAGAAGCATGAATTCAGACAAGAACCAGTGTCGAGATGAACTACTAACATTATCAACTAACTGGAGGTTATACACTTCAAACATTTGAAAAAGTTTACTCAAATGATAGCTGTGAGGATATGGTGTTATCTTATTAATGTTTTAAGTTAATATCAAAGAAGAAAAATTGTTATTTCAAGCTAAGGAACAACACTAGGAGAAGCATAAGGCCATACAATGGCTGTGAATAAACATGGAGAATTAGGAGAGTGTTTTTCATATCAGCAAAATAGGGTCCAAAACTACCTTGCAGTAATGAGATGAGAAACCCAGATTTTTCAAAAATGAAACTAAACCTACAGGAGATTACATGATGTAAACAAAGGGGAATAGAAGACAGTTTAGTTCATTGCCTCCGGAGATCCCTTTCAGCTCTGTGTACTTGACTACACAACATCTATCTGCACCTTTTGTAATTCCAAAGCATTCCAAAGCATGCAACCCAGGAGGAGTTTAGCTAACCATCTCTTGGATTTCAGCTGTGGAGGAGGATGCTACACTCCTTAATGTAATATAAAATACCTTTTGTATGAAGCTATAGCACATGTGTTCCACAGGCTTCTCTGACTTCCAGCTCGTTTCCAGGTGTAGATCATCGCATGTGTTTATGCAACATTGGGCAAAGTGGAATCCCAACCCTGATGGGATTCCACAATGCAGAGAGGAATGAAAAAAATTAATAGTAAAAATACCAAGGTCCAAGCAGTTTTATTCTTTTTGATTTGTGGTCTGTGTATTTCAGAGCCTGAATCAGCTGATATACAAAGCTCATGTTTAAGCTTTATCCAGCCTTCCTTGAAGGAATAAACTCTCGAGATTCAGATGAGTTTTTATGGGTAGGAAGAATAGTCCATCTTGAAACTCTTATCAGCTTTGAACTATTTAGCACTTGCAGACTGCACTGTACTCATGCTAAAGGACTAGTGATAAGCGACATGTATGACCTGTGAGTTACTCTAAACTGCTGACTAAGCAAGTATAACATACACAGATTAAGGAAAAATAATTTTGATATGGTTTAATTATTTCCACTAATTTAATATTCCAAAAAGATAAAGAAAATTCAGAGATAAGAAACTGCATTATACAAGGAAAGGCAAACTATATGTTTATTAGACATTTGTGTCAAATTTGAAATTTACCCTGGGGAATGAATGTTCATCATCTCACAACAGTGATATGTCTTCATTCTGATGTAACACATTCATTTGACCTTCATCCTGTGATTCTCCTTAGCGTGAAACCAGCTATCTGTTTTTCCTTATTTGACCTTGACAATCTGAGTGCCTGTTTTAATAGGTGCAGGGTACCTTTAACTTCTGTGACTCTCCTGTGGACTTCTAAATGTTCAGGCTTTCTTAGTAACCTGCCCTAACCTGGTAATTCATATTTACACAAACACTCAGATAACACAATTTGCCAGCTGTTGAGAGAAAGGAATCAAACTTTAAAGAGAGAGAGAGAACAATAATGCTGCATTTCTTAACTTTGCAAGATTAATTTTAGCCAGCCTCAAGAAATATATAAATGAAAGCAGGAAAATCCCTGCTGGTTCTGCCTGTCCTTACTGCATAAATCCCCTGTTTTTTCTTGCACAGGATGACCCTCAACGACTGAAGCTGGGACTGAAAAAACAGCTGCATTGTACTGCAGACTCAAATCCTGCTACAGCTATAAGCTCTAGGATTCAAACATGAACCAAACAGGATTATGCAGAAGGCCAGTATAATACTTAGTGTGAATTAAAGGTATGAGGAAAGACACATTTATTTTGGGGTAAGCTACTTTTTTTTTTTCTGGTTTAAATTGTTCAGTTATGATCTCAGATGTGCTGAGCCTTTTTAAATAATAAACAGCAACAAATTTCTGTAATGTGAAGAACTATGTATGACAGTCTTCTTAAAATCAAACATATTCCACAGTAAACTAAAGGTATTTCAACCCATTGCAGCTGCTTATTACTTTAGGATGCAAGCTTTTTTTCTTTATCTTAAATCATGCTGTACTTTACTCACTAATCTTTGCAAGGTTGTGACTAAGTGCTATTAAACAGTGCAACTTTCATTTTTTACTTTCCTTAGTAGTAATAATAATGCAACAGAACCAGAAAAGAAAAGGTTTGGTCACCAGTAATAATAATATTTAAGAAACAGTACAGCAGAATAAAAAATTAAGGATCATTAAGCACATTATTCGGTTTCCCTCAGCAATTTGAAGATACTGGTATTTTCTTACGTATTTCCTTACCTTGAATGTGAATAATTCTTTCATGCTCCAGACTTGAGTTGTCAGGGTGAGGTTCAGCCCAGCAGACAGAAATCAGCACCAGAAAAAGTAGACTCTTCATCTTTATAGTCAAAAGAATCTTCTTCACTGTAAGGGCATCACATACAAAGAGGCTTGTGAATTTTTGGAAACCTTTACAGTGTTGCACTGCACAACTTGTTACAGCAATGATCTTATGAAGGATCTATAACATATTTAACCCACTCAGCTGAAAAAGTTACAACAGCTACTAATTTTTTAGGTATGAAGACTGGACCTTTTTATCATGGACTTTCATTAAATGAAACTGGCAATACATATTTAACTCTGCCTATGCAGAAATACAACATGAAAAATAAAAGCACACACACAAATATCCATAAACCAAACTCCTTGCAAGACCATGTGTAAGCAGTACCTGTGTTTCAAAAAAGGTTCTAGTGTACTTTTGATTTTTCAGACCTACTCTAGATGTGGTCTGTAAATACAGTTAAAACAATCAAAGCTATCACTATACCTATATCCACTGCATGATGCAATCTGCTGGTGATAGATTTTCAAGATTAAAACAATCTTCTTGTAAGTTTTGGCATTTCAATCAAGACTGCAAGTTAACTTAGCAGTCAGGGTGGTAAGTTTGCTTGAGCTAAGCAGTAAAGATGACAAAACATTTCTTAGACTGACTAGAAAGATCTATTTTATTTCAGATCCACTTACCATTTTAAAAGATGCCTAAATACACAATGAAATGTTCAAAACCATGCACAAAGTAGGTTAGAGTTGTATATGCTACCACTGCAGTTGCCCTGATTGATTTTTCATTCATTTCTACCTAGAATGCTGACGCACTAACTTAGTGTGCCAGGTAGGGTCTCTGCAGTCAGCAGAGCTGAGCGCTGCAGGGAAAATCTCTGCCAGCCTCTGAGTAGTAATTAGACAAATGAAGACCTGAAATAGAAAAGGAGGCATAAAATACAAGAGGTTTTATGTAAAGGGTTCAGGCTGCTGTGTGTTTTATAGCTAGAATTTTTATGACCCTGATTTCTTGAAATAAAAGAGAGCTATTTCCAAACTTTGCCTTTCAAGAGACTAGGACTTTTTCCCCAATCATCAAATAGTGGCAGTACTATTAATATGCTTTCTCTCTAAGGCAGAAAGAAATTTACTTTTTTCCCTTTTTCTCTATCAGAGCTAAAAACACATCAAAGTTGCAGGGTACTCTCAGTCAGAACCTGGGTCAAGGTCTGAGCTTTGCAAACAGTCCCTGTCCCCAAATAGACTCAAACACCTATGTGTTTCAAGTCTAGATCCAAATACTGTAACCCGGACCAACCTCTATTACAGACTAAAATGCAGAAATGCTATTGCCATTTTTTCATAACAGAACATGCATGCTACTTGCCTGCCTTTCCATTTCTTCAAGGCGAGTTTCGGTGGGAGTTCAAAGCCAATTCAGCATCCCTTACTCCTCACTGTGGAGTGTCTAGAGGTAGGACAAGTGCTCGCTGCACACTATTTTCCAGGTGGTCCATGCTCAGTAACCCAAGAGTCTCCAGCCACTCCCTTTTTCCTGGAAAGCTTGGCAGGCTGATGACCTCCATCCCGGAAAGCAAGGACAGATGTGGCTCCCCCTAGAGCACATCAACCCGAGCCTGGGCTGACCGGAGGGGTCACACAAGTGCAGCTGGGTGTTCCTCCTGCACGATGGGACTGCCAGCCTGGCTGCTTGATGGAGCAGGGCACACTTGTGTAAAACCACACTGCTCTTTCACTACCAACTCAAAAAAAATCCTCTAAGAGTGAAAAATGCTTCAGGATTGGGGTTTGGGTTTTTTGGCTGTTGATTAACAACTGACAATTCTTCTTTTTATTGGTGGGGGAGAGTATTACTGATTTAGATTATTTTGAAGGCAAAGTTTATGGGGGTATTCCTACCTCAATCTGTAGATTGGAGCCTATGCTGGAGGCAAAACCTCCTGGACACAGTGAGTGGGGGTAAAGCCCACAGGGGCTCTACAGACCTACTCTGGGAGCACCTTAGCTGCTCATTAACACTTTGCCTCTACCTCTTGCCACAAACCTGCTCCTTTTCCATGGCACTAGTGAAAAGAAACAGTCACATAACCAGATGACAGGTAGTACTACCTTTTTTGGGGACAGCATCCCCATCTCCACAAAACTCTGTGTGCACAGGGTCTGGGGCTCTAATGTGGAATGAGAAAGATTCACCTTCTGGTTACTTGGATGGAGAACTCCACACATGCCCCCTGTTCTTGTCAAGGTCTCCCTAATATGATGAGGGAAAGTCCTCAATGTAGCATCATCAGGTGATGATTGTCAGAACAACAAGTTTCAGGATTAGCCTGGTGCACTGAGGGGGCAGGATACAACTTTTAGAGATATTTGCGTGTACCTTCAGGTAAATATCATGTAACTCTATAGAGTTTATGTGGTAGTATCACACAAGCAGGATGAGAGGCAGGTCAATGATGACTTGGAGATCTGCTCTTCCGTTTCCTCAATTTCCCGGATGCAGCTGAACAATTTAATATGTCACTTGCCGCAGACATTGTACAAAATCAAGCTTACTGTTACAGATTGACATTTTTCTTTGAAGGCTATACCCAAGATGGTGGTACTTTAGCTTTGTTAATAGGCAAAGTTTACAGTGGCTAAGTTTCTGGTTTTCCCCAATTGCCATGGACAGAAAGGGCAGCCTAAAGGTTCATTGTGTGTGCAGGAGCATGCACACAAATAGCATGTGTGTGCACGTCTGTGCTTTCTTTGGCTCTGGTAAAGTTCATCTGCACTGCTAAGATGTGTTTGACAGACTGCACAAAACTAGCAAGAACTTAAAAACTATTTCCCAGGGGAGCAAATGCCTGATCAACATTTTAGGAAAAGTATCCATCGCATATATTTGCTTATGCCACCAGATGCTTCATACTTGAGGTCAACCGACTGAGAGTAAAGATTTAGCTGGGCAGAAGCATCCTGTGGGGGGCCACTTTAACCCTCCATTTAAATCTGAGCAGCTTTAAGGCTGCTTCCTTTTACTCCCATGCACAACAGCAGGGGAGAAAATGTGGGTGTCTGAAGTCAGGAACACCCCAACCTTGTACCGCTCTCCTCCTGGGATTCCCTGTGATGGGAGCTGTGGCATCAAACCAGAGCAGTGCAAAGCAACATTACCAGGCCAAGAATCTGACCCCTGGTGTTTTGTAGGTTATCCAGAAAAGCAATTAGCCAGAGGAGTTCACATCCTCAACGCTAGCCAAAGCAATAGAAGTCAGACGCCATTTCTGCACTAGCCTAGGAAGACCTCAGGGGAGAAATGATAGGTGTGGATGTTTCCATATTAAAATTAATAAAATCTTGGCTGGGAGTTAGTGAATTTTTGGTAAGAAATGGTAATGATTAGTCATACTCAAGAAATTTGCACTGGTTTCAATTACTGCAGTTTATGAATCTGCTATCTCCCTGGACAGGGACACAAAGAAGCTGAAAAGTAGTTTTTAAAGGGAGACCTCAAGACTCAGGGAAGTGGTCAAGGTGACTGTACATTCAGTTTTTAAGTTCTCAAAAACTGTTTATTCCTAGATACAATTTGAAATTCTGATATTAATCACCATTTTGTCATACTTACCCAGCCATAATTAATCTACTACTGGCAAATCTAAAAGCCTGTAAAGCACCAATGTTTGTATTTTAATATAATATTTTGAAAATTAACAGAATGCCTTCAAGTAATTCAACTGCATAAGTAACAAGCATGTCTCTGAAGAACAGAGTACTAAAAAATAATGTTACATACCAATCTCTGTTTCTAATAAAATGACATATTTCTTATTTACTACTGTAACTACCTTCTAGCTACAGAACATGAGAGCATCCACTGTGTGAGGCCAAAGGTCCACCTAGCTCAATATTGTCTGACAGTAGTTAAAAGCCTGGAGAATGCCTTTGTTCACAGGAGTTAGTTTTTGTCTTGTATTAAGACATTATTATGTCCTATACCAAATGCTTGTTTCCCTGAGAAGAAAGACCTATGGAAGCCTGAACCCACAACGGCTCAAGAGCACTGCCTTTCTGTGGAGTTTCCTGTATTTAACACAGTGAGACCCAGCAAGTGAAGGCAGTAATCAATGATATCTAAACCAGGTAACAGAATCAGTAAAATCAGTCTCAATAATTTAGGGTTGAAATAGCCCCAAAATCTGTGGACTATGCACATCCGTGCACAAACCTACTGTATAATATAAGCCTTTACAGGCTCCATCTCTTTGTGTCTGAAATTCCCTGTTTCATCTGGGAATTGGTGCTAAGCACTAGAGAAGTAACTATTAATAAAACAAAATTTATGTATTTTCAGGGAGACGGTGTCAGCTGCAGTAACTGAGAGTCTCTCACCCTTAGACACTGCTGGTAGATAACAGAATAGGATGAAGACCAGTCTAGGCAGTACTCACACACTCTCTTCAATAGCCTTTCCTAAAACTGGGAAGTTGGTGTAGAATACTTCAATCTAGCTGATTAGACAGATTTCTGGTATCAAATGACTGGCCCAAACCTCCTAAAGATCATACCTTATGTCTATACCTTATGTATAGACACCTAGGTTTAGGCAACCGAGTCAAGCCATAAGGATGGAATTGAGCTCCAGATTGTGGACACTTAAGTTAGTGTGTCTGTATGTAAAAAGTTTACACTTCACTTATGAGTCCAAGCTATTGTTACTGTCAGTTCATACCTAACCAATGTGGTCAGTGGAAGGCAGATGTGCGTTTAGTTGACCTAGGATGCCTTTTGTCTATTCACTTTTGTCTTTGAATAAGTCCCTCAATCTGCAGTGTGGCCTCTCTGGAGAAGTGGGAATTGTGGGCTTGAATCTTGCACACTGACATGGAAGGCACACCTTGCATGGCCTCTTTGGCTGAGTGGTCTAACGTGAGGCTGTTTTGCAAACACGATACAGATGCAAATTCATTTAGTCAAGGACTCATCACTCAGGATTAAAGGGACGGCAATGGGCAGAGGTGCCTGAAGTGCAGATCTGACTCAGGGGCTTCTTACAAGTGGGGT